ATGATAATTATGACGATGATGATGATGATGATAATAATAATGTATATGACTATGATAATCATGACAAAGATAATGATGATGATGATAATAATGTATATAATTATGATAATAATGACGAAGATTATGATGATGATAATACTAATGATGATGATGATGATGATGATGATGATGTTGATGATAAAAATAATTATAATAAGATAAATAATAATAACTATGATCGTCATGGTGATGATAAAAATGAGAATAATAATAATCATGATAATAATAATGACGATATCAATAATGATAATGATGGGAATAATAATAATGATAAAGATACTTATAATGATATGGATGCTAATGATGACATTGTTTATGATAATGATAACTATAACAATAATGATCATAATAATGATAATTATGATAATAATGATAATAATAATATGTATGGTAAAGATTAGGTTTTTAATAGTAAAAACAATGTTATTTATACCAATAATAATATTTATAATGATAACGACAAAAATAATAGCAATAATCATAATTATAATAACAAAGCAATGATAATTATAATAATTAAAATCAGGATAATAATAAAACTAATTTTTATAATAATTATCGTAATAATTATAATGAAAATTACTGTGAAGTTGATAGTGATGATCATAATAATTGTTTGTAAAAGAATAAGTGATCCTTCTAGAGTATGAGTGTTATACAGTCTCAAGTTGANTCATAATAATAATAAAAATAACAATTATTATGATGATTATGATGATTATTATGATATAAAAAATGACAATAATACAGTTAATGATGTTGGTGAGAATGAGCATGATAACAATAATTATACAAAAATACTGATAATGATAATGCTAATGATAATAATGATAATATTAATGACAATTATGACAACGACTTCAATTTCTTTAAGTATAACCCCGGTTAATTAGTGGTGGTTACAATCGGCTAAGAATATAATCCGTACTAAGGAAACTCTAAGATTAGGAACCAACACACAAACAATAATAGTGTTTATATGTCGGAGGGTGGGTTCGTTGCCCTGGTACAAGAGCGAAATAGCTCAGATTGCCGATTATATACAATATTTAAAATAATTATTAGTAAGCTTCAAAATTTGTCTGTTAAATAATTAATTAATTCCTGCACCATATACAGCAATTGTTTGTTGATTATTACTCTATTAAATTCACCTGAATATTTCCTTAATTTAATTAATTTTATAATTTGATTTTTTTTTTTAACTTATTCAATATTCTTCTAATCTAACATCTTTCTTAATTTATTCCTGCCCCTTCTTAGGGTACAGATAATATTCTCAGTTTATGTAAAC